GACAAGGGGGCCGGGAGGGAGACAAGGGGGTCGGGTGGGAGACAAGGGGCCGGGTGGGGGACAAGGGGACCGGGAGGGAGACAAAGGGGCTGGGAGGGAGACAAGGGGGCCGGGAGGGAGACAAGGGGGCCGGGAGGGAGACAAGGGGGCCGGGAGGGAGACAAGGGGGCCGGGAGGAAGACAAGGGGGCCGGGAGGGAGACAAGGGGGCCAGGAGGGAGACAAGGGGGCCGGGAGGGAGACAAGAGGGCCGGGAGGAAGACAAGGGGGTCGGGAGGGAGACAAGGGGGCCGGGAGGGAGACAAGGGGGCCGGGAGGGAGACAAGGGGGCCGGGAGGGAGACAAGGGGTCGGGAGGGAAACAAGGGGGCCGGGAGGGAGACAAGGGGGCCGGGAGGGAGACAAGGGGGTCGGGAGGGAGACAAGGGGGTCGGGAGGGAGACAAGGGGGCCGGGAGGGAGACAAGGGGTCGGGAGGGAAACAAGGGGGCCGGGAGGGAGACAAGGGGGCCGGGAGGGAGACAAGGGGGCCGGGAGGGAGACAAGGGGGCCGGGAGGGAGACAAGGGGGCCGGGAGGGAGACAAGGGGGCCGGGAGGGAGACAAGGGGTCGGGAGGGAAACAAGGGGGCCGGGAGGGAGACAAGGGGGCCGGGAGGGAGACAAGGGGGCCGGGAGGGAGACAAGGGGGCCGGGAGGGAGACAAGGGGGTCGGGAGGGAGACAAGGGGGCCAGGAGGGAGACAAGGGGTCGGGAGGGAGACAAGGGGTCGGGAGGGAAACAAGGGGGCCGGGAGAGAGACAAGGGGGCCGGGAGGGAGACAAGGGGGCCGGGAGGGAGACAAGGGGGTCGGGAGGGAGACAAGGGGGTCGGGAGGGAGACAAGGGGTCGGGAGGGAGACAAGGGGTCGGGAGGGAGACAAGGGGGCCGGGAGGGAGACAAGGGGTCGGGAGGGAGACAAGGGGGCCGGGAAGGAGACAAGGGGGTCGGGTGGGAGACAAGGGGGTCGGGAGGGAGACAAGGGGGCCGGGAGGGAGACAAGAGGGCCGGGAAGGAGACAAGGGGGCCGGGAGGGAGACAAGGGGGCCGGGAAGGAGACAAGGGGGCCGGGAAGGAGACAAGGGGGCCGGGAAGGAGACAAGGGGGCCGGGAGGGAGACAAGAGGGCCGAGAGGGAGACAAGGGGGCCGGGAGGGAGACAAGGGGTCGGGAGGGAAACAAGGGGGCCGGGAGGGAGACAAGGGGGCCGGGAGGGAGACAAGGGGGCCGGGAGGGAGACAAGGGGGCCGGGAGGGAGACAAGGGGGTCGGGAGGGAGACAAGGGGGCCGGGAGGGAGACAAGGGGGTCGGGAGGGAGACAAGGGGGCCGGGAGGGAGACAAGGGGGCGGGAGGGAGATAAGGGGGTCGGGAGGGAGACAAGGGGGCCGGGAGGGAGATAAGGGGGTCGGGAGGGAGACAAGGGGGCCGGAAGGAGACATGGGGGCCGGGTGGGAGACAAGGGGGCCGGGAAGGAGACAAGGGGGCCGGGAGGGAAACAAGGGGTCGGGAGGGAGTCAGGGGGCCGGGAGGGAGACAAGGGGGCCGGGAGGGAGACAAGGGGGCCGGGAGGGAAACAAGGGGGCCGGGAAGGAGACAAGGGGGCCGGGAGGGAGACAAGGGGCCGGGAGGGAGACAAGGGGGTCGGGAGAGAAACAAGGGGGCCGGGAGGGAGGACAAGGGGGTCGGGAGGGAGACAAGGGGGCCGGGAGGGAGACAAGGGGGTCGGGAGGGAGACAAGGGGGTCGGGAGGGAGACAAGGGGGCCGGGAGGGAGACAAGGGGGCCGGGAGGGAGACAAGGGGGTCGGGAGGGAGACAAGGGGGCCGGGAGGGAGACAAGGGGGCCGGGAGGGAGATAAGGGGGTCGGGAGGGAGACAAGGGGCCGGGAGGGAGACAAGGGGGCCGGGAGGGAGACAAGGGGGTCGGGAGGGAGACAAGGGGGCCGGGAGGGAGACAAGGGGGCCGGGAGGGAGATAAGGGGGCCGGGAGGGAGACAAGGGGTCGGGAGGGAAACAAGGGGGCCGGGAGGGAGACAAGGGGGCCGGGAGGGAGACAAGGGGGCCGGGAGGGAGACAAGGGGGTCGGGAGGGAGACAAGGGGGCCGGGCGGGAGACAAGGGGGCCGGGAGGGAGATAAGGGGGTCGGGAGGGAGACAAGGGGGCCGGGAGGGAGACAAGGGGGCCGGGAGGGAGACAAGGGGGTCGGGAGGGAGACAAGGGGGCCGGGAGGGAGACAAGGGGGCCGGGAGGGAGATAAGGGGGTCGGGAGGGAGACAAGGGGGTCGGGAGGGAGACAAGGGGGTCGGGAGGGAGATAAGGGGGTCGGGAGGGAGACAAGGGGGTCGGGAGGGAGACAAGGGGGCCAGGAGGGAGGGGACCAACACTCCTTTTTAATAACGATGGTCAGCTTTCAGCCTCAGATTCTGCTATTGAGTTCAATAGGTTCTTCTCTTCCATTGGTTCATCCCTTGCAAATGATATTCCATCTTCCAGTTACAGACATTAAGGACTATCTCACAGGTAACTATTCACAGTCTCTGTACCTAAAGCCTATTAATTCCACTGACGTCAATGAGATAATCCTTTCCCTTAAAACCAAGTCTAGTGCCCTTGAGGAGATACCAACTTTAATTTACAAAAAAGCCTCCAGATCTTTAGCCCCTGCTATTGCATTGCTCTTCAACAAGTCACTTGAACTCCAAACCTTTCCAGATATTCTAAAAAAAGCGAGAGTGACGCCTGTCCACAAATGTGGTGATCTCACAGATGTTAACAAACTACAGACCTATATCAATCCTCCCAAACTTGTCAAAAATGTTTGGAAAACTAATCTATAAGCAGCTTTACACTTATCTAGCCAAATACAATATACTTAGCCCATGCCAATATGGCTTCAGACACAAAAAAAACACTAACGATGCACTTATTAGTATGCTTAACTCGATTCATACAGCTCTTGATAAAAATGAGTTCCCTGTTGGGTTATTGTGGACCTGCGTAAAGCTTTTGACACTGTCAACCACCAAAACCTTCTTCTTAAACTACATCATTATGGAGTCAGAGGACACTCCCTGCAATACCTCAAATCCTACCTTACTGACAGGCTCCAGTATGTTTCTGTGAATAATTCAATTTCTCCACCCTACCCATCAACATTGGTGTTCCCCAGGGCAGCATACTTGGCCCTCTCCTCTTTCTCATCTACATTAATGACCTTCCACATGCCTCCCAACACCTCAAACCAATTCTATTTGCTGACGACACAACCTTCATTTACTCCAGTCCTGACCCCCTTGCTCTAAATGCCACAGTAAATACTGAGCTAAATAAAGTCCATCTTTGGCTAACTGCCAACAAACTCACCCTTAACATTGACAAAACTTTCTATATTCTGTTTGGCAATAAATCCTCTAATCAAATAAATCTCAAAATAAACAATACCCAAATTTGTAACAAATTAGATGGCAAATTCCTTGGCATTCTCATTGACCACAAGCTGAATTTCCAGGGACACATTCTAAATATATCAAAAAAAGTTTCAAAAACTGTTGGCATTCTTTCTAAGATCAGATATTATGTACCCCACCCTGCCCTGGTGACTCTCTATTACTCCCTCGTCTATCCATATCTCAACTATGGCATTTGTGCTTGGGGTTCTACTACCCAAAATCATTTACGTCCTCTAATTACTCAACACAAAGCTGCTATTAGGACAATATCCAACTCTGGCCCTAGACATCACTCGGTACCCCTGCTCAAATCTCTGGATATGTTAGACATTAAGTCACTGCACATTCTCTCATGTGTATTATACATATATAAAACGCTGAACTGTAATGCCAATCCTGACCTCAAAAGCTACATTGACGGTTGTAACAGAACCCATGAGCACCACACCAGAAATAAATACAGTTTTGATATTCCTAGAGTACGACTTAATCAAACTAGAAATGCTCTACAAATCAAGGGACCCAGATTGTGGAATGACCTTCCCAACTATGTTAAAGACAGTACCTCTCTCAACCAGTTTAAGATAAAAACGAAGCTATACCTAATAAATTCCCTGTAACCTACCTTACTCCTCTAATGTCATCCAATGTCTGTTTTTTTAAAGAGCGCTGTTTGTCGACAGAATTGTATTTGTGCTGCTTTTCAGTTATGTTTTCATTCCATGTTTTGATTTTACTCTTTATGCTCAATTAGTATTAAGCTTTAATCATTTAAGTTTTTCATGCCCGAAACGCTTTGCGTAATAGTGGCTTTAGGCATTGTATGTACTAGCCCTAACTATAAATCCATCACTCTCTGTAAAATCTCTTTTATGTATGTACCTTACCTTACCTAAATAAATAAACAAGGGGGTCGGGTGGGAGACAAGGGGCCGGGTGGGGGACAAGGGGGCCGGGAGGGAGATAAAGGGGCCCAGGGGAGACAAGGGGGTCGGGAGGGAGACAAGGGGGTCGGGAGGGAGACAAGGGGGCCGGGAGGGAGACAAGGGGGCCGGGAGGGAGACAAGGGGGCCGGGAGGGAGACAAGGGGGGGGTCGGGTGGGAGACAAGGGGCCGGGTGGGGGACAAGGGGGCCGGGAGGGAGACAAGGGGGCTGGGAGGGAGACAAGGGGGCCGGGAGGGAGGCAAGGGGGCCGGGAGGGAGACAAGGGGGCCGGGAGGGAGACAAGGGGGCCGGGAGGGAGACAAGGGGGCCGGGAGGGAGACAAGGGGGCCGGGAGGGAGACAAGGGGGCCGGGAGGGAGACAAGGGGGCCGGGAGGGAGACAAGGGGGCCGGGAGGGAGACAAGGGGGCCGGGAGGGAGACAAGGGGCCGGGAGGGAGACAAGGGGGCCGGGAGGGAGACATGGGGGCTGGGAGGGAGACAAGGGGGCCGGGAGGGATACAAGGGGGCCGGGAGGGAGACATGGGGGCTGGGAGGGAGACAAGGGGGCCGGGAGGGAGACATGGGGTCCGGGAGGGAGACAAGGGGGCCGGGGTACAACAACATGAGAGGCGCTGCACGACGGCTCCACAACAACAACAACACCACCTTCACCAGGCGTCCTCTCCCAGCGCTGGACACCCTCGTCGCTGGCAACAAACTGTTGGCAGTATTTACCCTCTAAGGCCTGACCAATAAGGTTAGGACCAGTGGCTGCTTCCCACTGTTGCCTTTCATAATTGGTAAATATGTTCACACAAGACATGTAAATATTCCCGCATCCTCGACCCAGCGTTGACGAGCGCGGCTGTTATAGTTTATTATAATACTCTATTTACCTGATTTACCTGTGTGCCACTAATACCAGTGGCCGCGACCAGGACAGGAAGCCGCCTGCCAGTCAAAGGTCCCTCCATTTGCTCTGATGATCTTTTCAGATGTATTTTAAAACCCAGCAGAGTTTTAGCGTTTACGGCTTCGGCGGGTAGGCGGTTCCATGGGTTTACACTCCTATGGGTGAAAAAGCATTTGTACTTAAATGAGTTAGCTTCAGCTCCCTGGCCCCACTAAATAAGCAAGAGAGCCTATTGGGTTTTGTCATGTTTACATTTTATGCTGTGTATAGTATCTCCCTCCCTGGGTTAGATTAAGGAAGCCAGCGACTGAATTGACAGAACACTGGACGCATGATCCTTAGGTCCCGGGTTCGATCCCAGGCGCCAGTGAGAAACAATGGGCAGAGTTTCATTCACCCTGATGCCCCTGTTACCTAGCAGTAAATAGGTACCTGGGAGTCAGCTGTCACGGGCTGCTTCCTGGGGGTGGAAACCTGGCCGAGGACCGGGCCGCGGGGACACTAAAAAGCCTTGAAATCATCTCAACATAACCTCAAGATAACCTCCCTCCATTACCCTCAAATTTTCCTCTAATGTACCTACTAATCTTTATCATTATTGTGTATTAATCTAATCTTTCTGTATTGTGTCAAATTCTCTTATAATGTACCTGTAAACATTTTTTGTCAATTTTGCTCTTAATTACTTACTTAAAATTGCCTACTTAAAAGTAACTATTAGATTAAGGACCTGCCCAGAACGCTATGTGTGCTAGTGACTTTACAAGAATGTAAAATCATCATTGCTATTTACCCTCTTAACCCTAATGTACCTTCTTGTGTATAAATAAATAAGTAAATAAATTACATAATTTTTTCTTACATAGGTGGGTTCAGGAGTTAAGCTTTTCTTTCCCATTAATCAAGTTAAGCATTAGTTTTGTCTGGAATGTGAGCCATCAGTCATATTACTGCCAAGTCCCCAATTACTGCTGGGTGATCTGTGGCGAACGGCTAAGCACTGGTGCACAGTCAATCAACCTTTGCCAGGGTTTGAACCCAGGCAAAGTCACTTGTACAGCTTGGGGCAAGTGTGCTACTACTACACCACACAAGTGGCAGCACACACGTCCTACTCTGACACTGAGAGCATTTTTTATGTCTGTGGCTGATTTGGGTACTTAGTCTCCCTGAGTGTTCCCTTGTTCATGTACTGCCAGTGCTACTTTGTCTTTTTCTATTCCTCTGGGTATTTTGTTCATGGTCATCATATTTCTACTGTTCTTTCGCTTCCAGTCATGTTAGGGATTGCTACTTTACGCTTTCCTTATAACTTAGACTTTCTGTTCTAGGAATGAGATAAGGACTTCATGCTGTTGCTGCAAATTCCAGAATTGGTATGACTTTTGTGATATGAAAGCTCCTGAATGACTCTCTCTTCAGATTCCTAAAGGCAGTTCTTTTCTTGGTTACCCTTTTGTATGTAATGGATGATATTTATTTGTTGTGGGCTTCTAGTGACAGGTTTGGCATGGCATCTACCTCCAAGTCTTTTCTTAGTCTGATATGAGGAGCATTTACTCACCCATGTGGTACAGTGTGTGTCCAGCCTCCTTACGCTTGCCAGCACCCAAACTCATTATTCAGCCTTCTGTTCCCTGCACCCAGACTCATTTCTTTACGCTGGTACAGTGTATTCAGCCTCCTGTTGCCAGCACCCAAACTCATTTCTTTACGCTGTGGTACAGTGTATTCGGCCTTCTGTTCCCAGCACCCAGACTCATTTCTTTACACTTGCCTGAATTAATTTCTTGTTGTCACTTTCTGGGCTATTCTTTTATTTTGTCCAGTAGTTTCTACTATTCTTCAATTGTATTTATTATCCTCACAATTTTGGCATCATCAGTAAATATTGAGGAATGCATGTATCCACCAAAATAAGTCATTCATGTACTGTAGTTCAGGAAAAGGATATTTATGTTACAGGCTGTGAGAGTTTTGAGTTGAGAATTTGTGGAATAATTGAAAATTGGTATAAGGATTTTAGCTCGGAAAATTTTTAAGAACTTTCTTTATTCTTTAACCTTTATTCCTGTCGTGATATTCAACTAGGTCACCTGAGGAAGGACTTGCTTAGCTAACACACCAGTGTAGTAAACAGCTCATTCCTCACTTTGGGACCATGTATGAACAATTGACTAGGCGCGAGCAAACGCCGAGACCCCAATGAAATTGAAATCCCCCTCACTAGGCCGCTGACCTTCGCCAATCGCCGAAGCGAATCTAACGAGTAGGTCACGGGCTCTCACAACAATAATTTATTGTTGTGTGGTGCCGTATATTTGATCCAAAGCTCAGAAAAATAGTCTCAATTTTATTAGTCGAGTGTGAAGAACATTTGCATAACAATAATAATGTGTGGGGGTGTAACGAAAAGACAGTGTTAACCATAACAACTTAGTTTATTCAATAAAGTACTAACTACTACAACAAAACAAAAAGAAATGTCAATGACGTTACTCGAAATCCTTCCTGTGACACTATCAATGACAGCTAGACACCAGCCCCTCGGACTGCATAATGAACTAACTCGAACATAAGCGTGACCACAGAGGAATCAACAAGAAACAAGAACTAACAGATCTATAATCACAATTACAACAAATGACACAGTGCGTTCTGAAACACCTCTCCAGTAACCTCCTAACTGTTCTACGCCTCAGTGCAGTCTACCCCTGCAATGGCGGTTGCAATGCAATCAAATCAGTAGTCTTTCAATGACAACAATAACTAATGGGTTCACTGGCAACTCCAGCACCCTTCCTCAAATTAATCCTTACGTTAACACTCCGTCCCACGGACGATCAACAATCAATAACAATTGATTTACGTTAATAACAAGGTAACACTTACGTTAAATTAACAACTCTTACAACTGTCACTAGTAACGCAGAAATCAAACAACACTCTACCCGTCGAGCATTCAGTGAGAAAATCCCATTAATCCCTGTACTTCCAGACAGTGATTAATCTCTTTACTAGTTACGTTAATTTACGTTAATCGGTTACTAATCACTCTGCGATGGTAAACTCTGATTTGCAATGTCCAAAGTGCTAAGAGAACGGTAATCACTCGTGATTACCTTTAGAGTAGTTAATTACTATCCTCAAGATCAATAATTAAACAATTAAAATACGCAACCTTTCACACTGGCTCAGCAATTTACATTAAGGTATGAATTCCGTCTAAGCCTTCCATACTCAGACCAATTCAGGTGCTAATAACAGTAATTAGCACCACTTTTACGTTATTCTAAAATGACGCTACTCCTCCCACGAGTCAATCAAGTGCCGGTACTTCCGGGCAGATAACAACGTTATGTTAATGGAACAATGTAGCCTTCGTGTGAGTCGATCAAACAAGGATCGAGATTAATTACTTTGACTTCCTGAAACACGTCAATTACCCGGCCCACTGACCGTTAATTACGACAGACAATACTCTAATTCTTATCTGGCTGATGGCTAGGCTCCTCAAGACTACCGTAGCTGCTTGCAGGAAAGTAAATTAACCCAAACGTATTCTACGTTACTCAAATTGTCAAAGAACAAATTCTCTTAAAGCAATGGGCGTTCCTTGGTTACGTTATATTAATTGCCTCGCAATCACCTCACTGAATACTGGACTTCGATGTCCTACCAGATAACCAGGAGAATATATTTGTACCCAAGTACTCGTCTACAGCCGAGTTCCCCCACGACAATGACAAATCACACTAACAAAACACAGTTTTGTTACAATCCGGTTGCAATGACAATACTGCAGAACCTAGTAAAATAACCTACAGGACATGAACCCTCTAGAATACTGCCCCACAATGGTTTTACTGAACTGCAATCACATACGGTGATTGCTCAACACTAGCAACAATCACCATCAAATAACAACCCCCTTTGCAATAACACACACGGCAAGTACTCTAATTTCCAAATATTAGGATACTGCACACACTTACTGTTGCAAATGACCCCTAGAACATAGGTCAATATATATCAATCATTATACAGTAAATAACACAATAACACTGGGCACCGTGACACTACGATTATATATATATATATATGTCGTACCTAGTAGCCAGAACGCACTTCTCAGCCTACTATGCAAGGCCTGATTTGCCTAATAAGCCAAGTTTTCCTGAATTAATATATTTTCTCAAATTTTTTTCTTATGAAATGATAAAGCTACCCATTTCATTATGTATGAGGTCAATTTTTTTTTATTGGAGTTAAAATTAACGTAGATATATGACCTAACCTAACCAACCCTACCTAACCTAACCTAACCTATCTCTATAGGTTAGGTGGGTTAGGTAGCCGAAAAAGTTAGGTTAGGTTAGGTTAGGTAGGTTAGATAGTGGAAAAAACAATTAATTCATGAAAACTTGGCTTATTAGGCAAATTGGGCCTTGCATAGTAGGCTGAGAAGTGCGTTCTGGCTACTAGGTACGACATATATATATATATATATATATATATATATATATATATATATATATATATATATATATATATATATATATATATATAATTACTGCTGACCCATGTAGTCTACAGCTATCAAACGTTATTGGGAACACTAAGGAGAATCTCACACTCCTTAAATCATATGGGGTGAGTGATTTATCGGTCACGCATGCCGATAAACACTCGAGAGTTACGTTACTCGACAGAGCGGGGGCGGTCTTTCTAGACGGCCTCGTCACTCACCAAAACTTACCAAAATTACGTTAATTAATACTGCAACCACAATATATATTTATAAATCACACTTGTCACGGCCCTGGGAACACTACAAGAAATTTAAGCCACACTGTGGCACACTCCACAATAATCATTGCCAGGAAT